CTCCTCCCATAGTTTCCTGCTGTCCCTCAGCGGTCAGCCCCCACCTCCTCCCAGAGTTCCCCGCTGTCCCTCAGTGGTCAGCCCCCACCTCCTCTAATAGTTCCCTGCTGTCCCTCAGTGATCAGCCCCACCTCCACCCATAGTTCCCCTCTGTCCCTCAGCGGTCAGCCCCACTTCCACACAAAGTTCCCCACAGTCCCTCAGCGGCCAGCCCCCACCTCAACCATAGTTCCCGACTGTCCATCAGTGGCCAGCACCCACGTCTACCCATAGTTCCCTGCTGTCCCTCAGCGGGGAGCCCACACCTCCAACCAGAGTTCCCAGCTGTCCCTCAGCGGTCAGCCCTCACCTCCACCCATAGTTACCTGCTGTCCCTCAGCGTCCAGCTCCCACCTCCACCCAGACTTCCCTGCTGTCGCTTGGTGCTCACCCCCACCTCCACCCATAGTTCCCTGCTGTCCCTGAGCGGCCAGCCCCAACCTCCACCCATAGTTCCCTGCTGTCCCTCAGCGGCCTGGCCACAACTCCAACCATAGTTCCCTGCTGTCCCTCAGCGGTCAACCCCCATCTCCACCCATAGTTCCCTGCTGTCCCTCAGCAGCCAGCCCATCTCCATCCATAGTTCCCTGCTGTCCCTCAGCGGTCAGCCCCACCTCCACCCATAGTTCCCTGCTGTCCCTCAGTGTTCAGTCCCACTCCACCTATAGTTCCTTGCTGTCCCTCAGCTCTCAGCCCCCACCTCCACCCATAGTTCCCTGCTGTCCCTCAGCAGCCAGCCTCCATCTCCACCCATAGTTCCCTGCTGTCCCTCAGCGGTCAGCCCCCACCTCCACCCATAGTTCCCCTCTGTCCCTCAGCGGTCAGCCCCTACCTCCTCCCATAGTTCCCGCTGTCCCTCAGCGCTCAGCCCCCACCTCCACCCATAGTTCCCTGCTTTCCCTCAGCGGCCAGCCCCCACCTCCACCCATATTACCCTGCTGACCCTCGGGGCTCAGCCCCCACCTCCGCACATAGTTCCCCTCTGTGCCTCAGTGGCCATCCTACACCTCCACACATACTTGCCCGCTGTCCCTCAGCTCTCAGCCCCTGCCTCCTCCCATAGTTCCCCGCTGTCCCTCAGTGGTCAGCCCCCACCTGCACCCATAGTTCACTGCTATCCCTCAGCTCTCAGACCCCCACCTCCACCCAGAGTTGCCTGCTGTCCCTCTGTGCTCAGCCCCACCTCCACCCATAGTTGCCTGCTGTCCTTCTGTGCTCAGCCCCAACCTCCACCCATAGTTTCGTGCTTTCCCGAAGCAGCAAGCCCGCACCTCCACCCATACTTCCCTTCTGTCCCTCAGCAGCCAGCTCCCACCTCCACCCAGAGTTCCCTCATGTCCCTCAGCGGTTAGCCCCCACCTCCACCGACAGTTCCCTGCTGCCCCTCAGTGGTCTACCCCACCTCCACCCATAGTTCCCCGCTGCCCCTCAGAGGTCTACCCCCACCTCCACCCATACTTCCCTGCTGTCCCTCAGCGGCCAGCTCCCACCTCCACCCAGAGTTCCCTCATGTCCCTCAGCGGTTAGCCCCCCACCTCCACCGACAGTTCCCTGCTGCCCCTCAGTAGTCTACCCCACCTCCACCCATAGTTCCCCGCTGCCCCTCAGAGGTCTACCCCCACCTCCACCCATAGTTCCCTGATGTCCCTCAGCGGCCAGCCCCCACCTCCACCCATAGTTGCCCACTCCACCCAGAGTTCCCTGCTGTCCCTCGGTGCTCAGCCTCACTTCCACCCAGAGTTCCCTGCTGTCCCTCAGTGTTCAGCCCCACCTCCACCCAGAATTGCCTTCTGTCCCTGGGTGCTCAGCCCCACCTCCACCCATAGTTTCCTGCTGTCCCTCAGTGGCCAACCCCGACCTCCACCCATCATTCCCTACTGTACCTCAGGGGTCAGCCCCACCTCCACCCAGAGTTCCCTGCTGTCCCTCAGCGGTCAGCCCCACCTCCACTCATACTTCTATGCTGTCCCTCCATGCTCAGCCCCCACCTCCACCAATAGTTGCCTGCTGTCCCTCCTTGCTCAGCCCCCACCTCCACCCATATTTCGCTGCTGTCCCTCTGTGCTTAGCCCCCACCTCCACCTATAGTTCCCCGCTGTCCTCAGGGATCAGCCCACAACTCCACCCAGAGTTCCCCTCTGTCCCTCAGCGGTTCGCCCGCACATCCTCCCATAGTTCCCAACTGTCCCTCAGCGCTCAGCCCCCACCACCTCCCATAGTTTCCTAGTGTCCCACAGTGCTAAGCCCACACCTCCTCCCATAGTTCTCTGCTCTCCCTCAAAGGTCTGCCCCACCTCCTCCCATAGTTTTCCACTGTCCCTCAGCGGTCAGCCCCCACCTCCTCCCATAGTTCCCTGGTGTCCCTCAGCGGTCAGCCCCCACCTGCGCCCAGAGTTCCCTGCTGTCAATCAGTGCTCAACCCCCACCTCCTCCCATATTTCCTTGTTTTCCCTCAGTGGCCAGCCCCAACCTCCACCCCTAGATCCATGCTGTCCCTCAGAGCTCAGCCCCCACCTCCACCCATAGTTCCCTGCTGCACCTCAGTGGTCTACCCCACCTCCATCTATAGTTCCCTGTTGTCTCTCACCAGCCAGCCCCCACCTCCACCCCACCCATAGTTCCCTGCTGTCCCTCAGCGCCCAGCCCCCACCTCCACCCATCTTCCCCTGCTGTCCCTCAGGGGTCAGCCCCAACTACACCCATCGTTCCTTGTTGTCCCTTGGGGGTCAGCCCCCACCTCCACCCAGAGTTTCCTGCTGTCCCTCAGCGGTCAGCCCCACCTCCACCCATAATTCCCTGCTGTCCCTCAGTGTTCAGTCCCACTCCACCTATAGTTCCTTGCTGTCCCTCAGCGGTCAGCCCCCACCTCCACCTCTAGTTCCCTGCTGTCCATCAGCGGTCAGCCCCCACCTACTCCCATAGTTCCCCGCTGTCCCTCAGCTGTTAGCCCAACCTGCACCCATATTTCCCTGCTGTCCCTCAGCTCTCAGCCCCCACCACCTCCCAGAGTTCCCTGCTGTCCCTAGGTGCCCAGCCCCACCTCCTCCCATAGTTACCAGTTGTCCCTCCGCGCTCAGCCCCCACCTCTACACATAGTTCCCTGCTGTCCCTCAGTGGCCAGCCCCCACCTCCTCCTATAGTTCCCTGCTGTCCCTCAGCAGCCAGTCCCCACCTCCACCCATAGTTCCATGCTCTCCCTCAGCAATCAGCCCCACCTCCACCCATAGTTCCTCGCTGTCCCTCAGCGCTCAGCCCCCACCTCCACCCATAGTTCCCTGCTGTCCCTCAGTGCTCAGCCCCCACCTCCACCCATAGTTCCCTGCTGTCCCTCAGTGCTCAGCCCCGACCTC